TTTTTCTTCTGGTTAGTACTATTGTTACTATAATTGATGTTAGTGTTCTTGTATCCACTATGTTTTTTGTACTAATTCAAGTCATTGCTCATTTACCCTGGGTCTGTTTCCTAAATAGCCTAAGTTTATTTCCTTTTGTCACTACATGAAGATCAAAACCTTATTTTATAGATATGTTACTTAAAATTGACAAATAATATATATGAAGAATTAATAGATTTTTCTTATCTCAAATTTGCGTTTATCTTTGTTTCGCAATGATTTACATCGCTGAGGAATTGCCTTTCCAATTACAACCTTTTTGTCAGGCTTAACGGTACACAATAGAGAATGTCCCACGAGTTGAGTCACCTCGGGTTGCAATAATACAAGTTTTGTAAATGAAAAAAATACTCTATACACATGTTTTTTTGCATTACTTTGCTGGGAATTGAATTTGTTTAAATGTGTGTTGTGGTGTGTTGCCTGACCGGCACTCTGAAGAAAGTTAAAAAAAAAAAAAAAAATAAAAATAAAGAAAAACATTGTTATTTCTTCATTAATTATAAATTATTTCTAGATTTTAAGCGCCATCCATAGTGAATGACGTTTTGTTCTTCATATAGCAACAGAAAGACAGAATTTATGCTGCGACAGGCAGGCTACAGGAGCCTACTTGTAACATTATAGTTTTCCAAAAGTACCATGAGAATATAGTCATACTAAGTAGGTTACTGTCATCGAAAGTCTGTGAATTTTATGCATACATAAAAAAATTTATCTATGTATTGTGCAATCGGTCACCGAAAATGCAGGATTTTTTAGCCTCTGACCCCAAAAGGACCTGTTTATAGTACGATCTTCTATTTTTGGTGTAATAACTTTTCATAGAAACACGCAATATACTTGAGTATATACGGTGTCTTGAGAGAGCATTTACTTTAATATCTGTATCTATAAAAAGAACGTATAAACATAAAAAATGTCTTAAAATAATTGTCGGACTCTGTCCATTTCATTATATATATATATATATATATATATATATAATCCATGATAACGGTTTAGCCTAAAGGGAGTCTGAAGTCGCATGAAACAGACTGTCGCCACACGGTGTTGACCTCAATGCCCTCTTTTATATTTACATATGCTCTATCCCTGATATTGTGCAATTTTACCCATAAATAGAGCATACATTAAATATATATATTTTATAACTCTCTCTATATATGTGTGTGCGTGTGTATGTGTGTGTGTGTACAAAGAGAAAGAAAGAAAGAGAAAGAAAGTGAGAAAGAGAGAGAGAGAGAGAGAGCTTTTAAAGCTTCAAGTTATTTGTTCTGTGAGAATTAAATATACTTTCGTGGCTTTCGTATTGAGATTTTTTCCATCAAGCATGTTTTGAAAATAAAATGCAAAAGACATCAAACAAAACAAAACAAAAAAAATAAACTTATATTTATCCCGATTTACTTCAAAACTCTGTCGTTAATAATTATTTTAAAATATTTTTCATTGAATTCAAGTTGATGTTTTGATTTTCTGTTTTATTTTGCAGAGTGATTGCTGAAGGGTTAAAGCCCGCCCTTCTGACAAAAATCGGAATATAAATTCTTGAAGGTTTTGTAGTAATCGATGTGACACTTTGAAGTTACTTCGTGAAGACTCTCTGTTGAGTAAATAAAAAATGGAAGATGGCTTACTGTCACGATTTCCTTCAGATTTCTTCTTTATCTGGTCATTGTAATGATACGCCATATCATCTCATGATCCATTTTAATAAATTTATTGTTCTGTCCCTAACCTCTTAAAATTCTCGTCATGGATTACTGTGTCATACGATACACGGACAAACACATCAGTATGTTAAGTAGCAAAAACTGCGGATATATATCCCTATATCTTTAAGGAGTTAATAATTATCTTAATTATTTCTTATCACTATAAGTACTGGATTTAGTAGCTACTCGTATTTTTTAAACAGTGAAACTCACACACACAGAGCCGGGCAATCGATAATCTTCAGAAATAAAAAAAACGCTCGGTAGGGATTAACTTTGCGTTCTCTTTATTCAAAGGTAAACCTCTTTGAAGTTAAAGTTACCTTAATTACTCAGCCACAAGAGGCATCACAGTATAGACGGGATCAATTACTCATTTTTTTTTATATGTCATTTTTTTATATCGTTGGGGACATTCGAAAACTATTTCTTTATTTCTGTACTCGAAATATAAAAATAAACGTAATTAAAAAATAATGTTTTTTAACGTGAAGGAGAAGGAATTGCTGGGAGCAACAAAGGAGAAAAGGTTATGAAGAGACATGATCGTCAGCCAAGTCTTAGTAGGTAGGTAAGTAGATAGGTAGGTAGGTAGGTAGAAAGAGAGAGAGAGAGAGAGAGAGAGAGAGAGGGAGATATATATATATATATATATATAGATAGATAGATAGATTGATATATATATATAAATATAACAAAGATAGATAGATCTGAAGAATCATGATCGGAACCAAAACTTGAGAGAGAGAGAGAGAGAGAAGAGAGAGAGAGAGAGAGAGAGAGAGAGAGAAAGTAGAAAGAAAGGGATAGACAGATAGATACATCAATAGTGAGGGAGAAGGATAGATAGATAAATAGATAGAGAGAGAAAGAGGGAGAGAGAGAGAGAGAGAGAGAGAGATAGAGATATATATATATATATAAGAGAGATAGATTGATAGATAGGAGAGAAAGAAAACAACAAAGGAGGGACCTCTGAAGAATCATGATCGGCAACCAAAAGTGAGGAGAGAGAGGAGAGATAGATAAATAGATAGAGAGAGAAAAAGAGAGGGCGATAGGATAGATAGATACATCAATAGAGAGAAGGATAGAGAGAGAGAGAGTAAGAGAAAGTGAGAAAGGTATTTGGCTTTTAGGGGACCTGAATTTTTATGCATTAATCTTCTGGTTCTCAATCTTCTTCAGAACACTGTGTTCTTGGTGAACAAAGTTTTTTTTGTTCAACTCAGGGAATGTTGAACAATTGCTTTGATGTTCTTTGGTTAGGTTAGCATAACGTAAAGGTAAAGATTCGTTCAAATAAGCAAAAAAAAAAAAAAATTATTACATTTTTTTTTCTCTCTTAAATTACGTTGACTGAATCTACCTTTCATTTCTTGCAAACAGCTTTTCTTGTTTTTGAGAAAAAGTAACAATTAAAAAGCAAGCAGATGAATTGGCTCTAAATTAGACGACCATTTTACAATATAAAGGTAAATTTTGACAGATTGTAAATTGTAGAATGGACATCCTTAAGTTTGACACAAGATGAGGATCAAGTTTGAAATTATTGGAAATCGCTCATGAATTCTTTTTATTAAAGATGATCGAGTTACAGAAACCTAATAATTGTAATGGTCATGATTCTCTCTTATGGAATTATCAATTATCTGAGGTTAGTTTTTCGACTATTGGCCTGTTAATGTGTGACTATGAAAGATTTTCAAATATCTCGAAGTACTTCTTGTATCTGTGAATTTCTGTATTAGTCAGTTTCTAAAACATAGAATAACCTGCGCTAGAGGGAGTTTTGCCCCAAACCAAAAAAAAAAAAAAAAAAAAAAAAATGCTACAAAACCAAAATCTTTAAACAAAGAACTCAAGTCAGGCTCTTAAATAGCGTCATCAGAGGTTTGGTGCCAAAACCATTCAGCATAATTAACTGTATGAAAATGCTTTTGGGGATAAATGATTAAAAGTTACTCACAGCGAATGAACCCTGTAGGTGTTTCTTTTAAATTATTTCACTCCAAGAAAGGCAAGAAAGCCACTAAGACACAAAGGGTTACTGAATGTAAAAGAATAGGAAAAGAAAACATTATTAAGGAGCGAGTACAATAAAAAAAAAGAGGACAGTAGATAACGATTGACATTGCATTTAAGTTTTTGAAGATCAAAGTTAGTTGGAAAGCAAGAAACGAGAGAGGGCCCACGAGCGAGAGGTGTGAAAAAAAAACTGTCAGCAGAGAAATTAATTTTACATTTAGCCAAATGGACTGTAAATTGAGGAGACAATCTAATACTGAGCTTAAAGTCATAATGCAAAAAAGAGCAAAGTTCATCACAAAAATTAACATGAGAGTATTTAAAAGGCACAAGGAAGCTACATTACTGGGGTGGGAAAGTGACTTATTTTGGGATGCCAGGTTAGGACCAATATCATCGCCTATTCTTCGGAATTTATTAAGAGTCTCTAAATATACAGCAGGAGAACTAGACCATATGTGGCATCAATATTCAAAGCAGATATGAATGGAAGATTTATAAATATGTAAGAAAGATTCTGGTGGGAAAAATTTTCCAGCACGACACTGTGAACCAACTTTCCTATCAGGGGATCTAGTAATTGATTCAATATACTCTTTTCACTTCATGTCAGCAGATAATGTTAGACTTAGATGCTGCAACAATTCTTTCTCCTGGAGGTTAGAATCAGCTATGCTGATGAGAGGCACAAAAGGGATCTCCCATACGATTAATAGAGAGAGGTTTTGTTTTGGGGGCGTTAACATTGACAATCCATTCGTTGGTCAAGTTAATAGAAAATTTTAGGTCACTTTTGAGAGCAACTTCTAAGTTGACCTTATCGAACCGATCTGACTTAGTATGAAGACAGGAGTCTTTGTCCTTCTTCAAACGTCATGGCCTGGCGTTACGGAATCACAAAGAACTGTACCAAATAACAGAAACCACACCATTTGAAGACTTTCATCTAAAGCAGTAACAATGGATAGCGTATGTAACCCGAAAGGAAAATAATGACATCATCAAGAGGTTAGAAACATCCCTCAATACTGTAAAGAGCGATAACATTTAGTGGACTTGAGAAACCTATTTTACTGATAAATTGTTTTAAGAAAAAGTTTTTGTGGCGAACAGCCCAGTAGACGCAAGCGAGCCAAAGTGGCTTGCATCTGGTGCATAGGAAAATAAGGGTCTTAACGGGCGGAACGTGACATCGGCAAGTTTGCCCCTTGAAAATGGCATTACTCTCCTGTCTAGCGGTATGTGCGGTAACGAGGGTTTTTGTACAGTTTGGCATGCGTCCACCAATAGCAAGTCGTGTGCTTATTGGTCGAACTGGAGGAGGCTATTTGCCTTGGTAACTGAGAATAAAAGCAAGAACGCTGATTGGTTGGTCGAACGCAGTGTTGGCCTGATAAAAGAGGGCTGACGCAGTGAGAAGAGAGGAAGGATATAAGTTGTGACGTGTTCAGAAAGCAAGAACGGCGAATTGAACCAGTGGTATCTTGATTTGTACAAGTGACGTCGTAGCAATACAGACTTATTTAAACTACAGATTTCAACCGGCATTTGTGGTGATTACAGCGAAAATGAACCCTAAATGTTTCCTGCATGGAATGTGATGTTAATTGTTAGTAATTATCTTAAATAAATGCCTTCTTAGAAACAATCTTTTTCATATCTTTGGGTAGGGCTTTTGAATGTACCCTACAAGACTAACCTAGACAAATCAGTTCCATTACTGAAGTTATAACACTTTTCGATGCATATATAGGGATTTGTGCTTCATCTTTTTCATGTGTTTAACGCTATTGGCGCTGAAGCGAATGTGTATGTATGTTTTTTGTATATGTAAGCGATTGCGCTTGTTTGTGTGTACATGCGTGATTGTGTACGTATGAATTCAAAGAAACAAAGAAAGTGAGAGTTTGTGTACGTGTGTGTGCCAATGCGCATGCTCAGAGCAAGTTTATTAAAACTTGTCAACGCGTGGAAAGGAAAATCTTCAAAGAATCCTTCCGAACAAAAAGAAATGAAAAAAAATAATTATTTCAAATCATATTTCTCGAGTTAAGTAGAACAATATGCAATTAGATATTAATTAGATTACAACAAAATATATATAATTCAAGGTAATATATATATATATATATATATATATATATATATATATATATATATATATATATATATATATATATGTGTGCGTGTGTGTGCGTGTGTGTGCGTGTATGTGTGTCTGTGTATGTGTGTGTAAATTTAATACAGAATAAATAAAGTTTAACAACAAAATTGAAAATGATAATCCATGATGGTATATATATATATATATATATATATATATATATATATATATATATATTAGTATAATTTTATCATATAGACAAAACCATTTTACTACAAAGATGCAACTTCGTTTCAGTGCATTTCAACTGCACTTCGACGGGTGGGAATCAAAAATGGTTATGAAGAATCCTGCTTGTAGGCAAGCCTTGTGTGAAACGTCACTTCCTTTTTTTGTGAAGAAACAATACACATAAATTAAATAAAATGTTGCCTGTTGATAGCAGTTTGGTGAAGAATGGATTGGGTGTTTAATGTTGACTGGTTAGTGGAGATTTTTTCTTGCTGATAAACACCGGTCGAAAGTTTAGGCACATCACCTCACAAGCGTCCTAAGAGTTACAGGTAGAGGATGAGAGGTGGGGAGAGGGGATAGTAATATGTTGGAGTAGCTAAATTTCTTGCGATAGTTTTAGTAGTAATTTTGAATGTTATTTTTAGTTTACCATAAAAAGTTTAGAACTGTATTGCATATTGGGGTTATCACTACTAATTCTGTAATTAATGAAAGTGTTTTGTGGATTAATAAATTTAGAAGTGGCGATTTCCTGTAAATATATATATATATATATATATATATATATATATATATAAACTTTTGTTCTCATCGCATCGGATATATATATATATATATATATATATATATATATATATATATATATATAATATATATATAATATATATCAAATATAAAACACATATAATATGTATCGTATGTACGAGAACACGCAAGAAAATTTTTTAATACGTATAATAATATAAATTTATGCTTTCTTTTATGAGGCAATTCCTTTCAGGACCAGATACAATAGCTCTCCACAGCTTCCGCTTGTTGCTCTAAATACTTTTGGGTCTTATAGAATTCATCTTTGTCCCGGTTTTGTCCTATAGTCACACAAACTTTTTAAGTACGTTATTCAAAGTTTCCTCCGTTTCTCTCCCCTTCAAAGCCCCCGTAAATATTAAAATCTATATACCATCTTTTCTTATTATGCGTCCTAGAAGTCTCGCTTGTCTCTTTCTGATTGTAAGTATATTTTTCTTTGTTGCTCTTATTTTCTCTACATGCATCCTCGTTGTCCACATGTTCTGTTCATGTTGCTCTTAGGGTTCGTCAATCGAGCAAATTCTCGAACAAGTCTCTTTATTATCTGTAAAGAGATAGTCCAGCATTCATTGTTATATAAGAAATAACATTAAATCAGTCATTTCCTTGGTTCTACAGATATTTTTCTATCGCTTAATACTTTGCTTCGTTTCCTGCACGTTTCTTCGTCACATTTTCCTGGCGTCTTTCACTACACAACTCTGGGATTTGAATCTGCTTCATTTTGAAAACCACAGTGGGTAGATCACTTTTTGAAAAAAAATTATATGACTTCCATATATAATGATATAAATTAGAATAAAGACTCTTACACATAATTTATATTAGCATATTATTCAAACATATTGTATCAAATGATCTATAAATGGTTATTTTCTAAGCGTAGCTTCGATGTGGCATAAGGTCGAAAATGCGGAGTACCTAGTGAGGATCGAACTCACTTTTCAGTCGTAAGTGATCTAGCGAGACATGCGTCGAAATACCCTCATCTAGCCGTGTAAAATTTTGGATAGAATATATCTGTAAAAGGATATGCATAAAGACAAAAGAAAAACTTATCTTAGCCAACGCTTTTCGTCCTCTGAGAAACTTTATCAAAGAAAATTTAAGGATTTTATTTTGTAACAAGTGTTTATATTTAAGAACAAAGCGTTATGGACTTTTGAAAATTTTAAAATTTAATAACGTTTATAAATATACAACGGGCTAACTTAAAAATCTAGGCAAACTATGGAGGGCGCGAAGGGACAATAGTGGAATGGCAGTATTAATTAAACCTACCCGTTTAATAAACTTATAATATATTAACTGTTAACAAGAATTAGTTTGTTGTATGTATGTATTTATATAATGTTTTAATTTTAAAAACACGGTCAAGATATTGTGTCCATACTCATAGTTGATGTTACCGAGTGTTGCTTTTTTGTTTTTATTAATAAGGCTTCCATTACTTTTTAGCCTTTTATTGCATGTAGATGATGCTATTATATTAGTGTTGTCAACAAGTATGTAACAAAGGATCCAGTAGGTCTCCATGAATATTTAAATGAGAGCTGAGTTATTGTCAGAATATTCTAATTCTTGTGAATAGTTAATATATGTCAACCTTGAAAATGACTAAATGTATAGCCGAAAGCGCGCTGGAAAAAAGAACATTCGGTCAGTTTTTATATAATTTATCATCTGAAAATAAAATATTAGATCACAAGAAAAATTGTATAAACAACTAAATCCAAGTACCTTGTCGGTCGTATTCAATGAAATGTGCTTGAAAGAAGGATTGCTGCATATATATATATATATATATATATATATATATATATATATATATATATATATATATATATATATATATATTACAAGATTGACTGATTTAAAAGATTTAAAATATGGTTTCTTCGCTATTAATTAATTTATAATATTTAATAGTTAATTTATAATATTTATGATCTGTAAATTTACATTGAGCACTATTTTGTAAAAATAAAATATCAATAAGAACACCGGAATATATATCTGACTGTTCTTTTCTTTTATTTTAATATATATATATATATATATATATATATATATATATATATATGAAGAAATATACTTTTATGTTGTACTATATTTATGAGATGAGGGGTTCAATATCAGACATATCGTATGTAAATACAAAAATGCACATTGAAATCACAACACAGAGTCGACAGACTGTTTCACAGTAGATGCAATCATCAGGCGTCAGGTGGCCTGACGATTGTTTCTAGCATGAAACAGTCATTCACTCCTCTAGTTCACTGCTACTAACGAACAGGGATTTTTTCAAATAATGCACGGCTACTCGTTTCCGTATACACCAATGTGCTGGGAGCAGCAAGTCAATCCATGTTGCAGACACCTGCTCAGACACATATTTTCTTGTTAAGCACACACATAGCCCATCTGTGGTTTATTTGCAACTATGCTGTGCAGAACGTAGGTCCAGTTTCTGGTAAAGTGCGCAACATCTCGGCAACGTATTTTGAACAACCCTCAGACACGATGACTAATGATTTAGTTCGAAGACAACTAGCGATGAATTTGAAACAGCTTTGCCTATACAATTCACTCAGGAAGCTTGGGTTAATCAGTTCATGGTTTTTAATCACCTTCTGGGCCGATAAAATCACGGTCAGCTCCCTGACAAATTAACCATGCGGAGAGGCGAACTTGGACCTCATGATCATAACTCGAACGTTCCCACCACCCGGCGCGTACACACATGCACACACACATACACATGCACACACACACACACAAAAAACATACACATACATACACACGCAGACATACACACACACATCTCTACACTGTGCGTGAAGTTTATATATATATATATATATATATATATTGACCACAAATATTATCAATATATGTGTGTGTGTGTCTGTATGTGTGTGTTCCTTATGTAAGTTTTATATATATATAAAAAGATAGTGAGATAAAGAGCGATATCCAGAAAAGAGAATACCTAAAGATAAAGGGAGCTATTTTTAAGATATTGTATCACGTTTTGCAATTTGAAATGCAAATCTATGTACTTTCGTTGATTCAATGCTCTGGTTACACCATTTTGTAAACTCAAGAAACATTTCTGGAGATACTACTTCAGTATCGTTTCTTTTCAAGGCTTCCAGCGTTTTTCTTTCACATGGTCTATGTCAGCATAATATTTCCTTTCAGGCAATTTTTGTTACGACGGAACAAAAACGTCACATGAAACGAAGCCGGGTGAATAGCGTAGATCGGGGTACACCATCAATGCTTTGGGCCAAAATCTATTGGACACTCAAGGCCGTGTTAGCGTGGGCTTTGTGCTGGTGTTTCAATTACTTATACTCGAGATTCTTCGATTCTTTTTTCTATACACATTCTTTTACGTAGTTCTTTTCAGAAACTTTAAACAAAAACAGAAGAATCACCGTCTGTCCTGGAGGCATTAATTTCTTGTGTACGTTGGCAGTCATATCAACGACACACATCAACAGACCCGACATATTTTAGCTGAATATAGTGTTTTCCATTCCTTTCTACATCATAACTGGTGCGCCAGAACACACCCAGGGTTAAAACATTGGAAAGAAATTATGGATAATTTTACATTTATTCTCTTAAATCAAAATTTCAAGGCTAACCAATCATTCAGGACCTAAATAGTGTGAGTTCAATACCCGGTTAAGGCAGTGGAGCACTTGGAAAGGGGAATTAACAGGAGATAACTGATAACTGATATCCATTAAACATGGTACGTGGAACTAGAACAGTCTACCCCAGTGAGCGAAATAAAGGGTTCAGTTCGACATTCCAACCACCCGAAGAAGGCCAGAGCGTACAACGGCCGAAACGTTGTAATAAATATGGTGACAAAGATGAGGACAATAGTCCGAAAAATGTAAGTAGTGTACAATCAAAATATTATTTCATTTGTCCTTCAACGACCATCATTGATCGCATCGTGACTCATTTCAAGATTTTTGCCATCTAGATCCTGGTTGGTCCTCAATGGAATAATTTACAACGTTTTAACAAGCCTTGAGACTCGCACATTTGTGTTTTACAAGAAGATTTCTTAACAGCTTCTCAAATCTTTGCAACAGATTTTTCGAAGAGCGTAAAACATCATGTATTTTTTTGTTTTATTTAACTATCTTGAAAAATCACCAAACGTTCTTGAAACATCAGCAAAAATTCAAAGGAAAAAATCAGTCAATGCGGTAACCAATTCCATGATTCAGAAAAAAACAACAACAAAAACTATCGACTTGTGATACTTAGCGACGTAATGCGAACCTATCTTAAACTTTACTCGTGGTTCGCGTGCAATATTTGAATTCCAATTGGTTTTGGCAAAATCGATGCTGGAAATTTAATATCGAATCTAAGTAGCTCTCCTTTAAGCAATCTCCCCCTGTAAGCAGAAGGTATTGGTGCATTAGCAGCCACTCTTTCTGTTTGTAGAGAAAAGGTTTGTGACTGGCATAACAGACATTCTCTGATAACTGCCCTCTGCCTAATTATGTGTTAGTGGGTGTTTTTAAAATGTCTTTGTTCGAGTTCTGAAGAGTGAGGAACGACAAATAAAAAATATTATATTTAAATAAATATTATTCGTTTTACCATTTTACGTTAAATATAATTTTTCCTTCTTCCACTTGTTTTAATATATATATATATATATATATATATATATATATATATATATATATGAATCTACACGCACACACACACACAAATGTACACAGTTGGTTTAAAAGAAAGTTACTATTTTAGGTATGATGGAGTCTCCTGTCTTGTAAAAATTATAGTTAGACGAGAGATCCATCTTACGTAAAATAAATAGAGAGTTAGTTTTCAATCACCATCCATATATATATATATATATATATATATATATATATATATATATATATATATATATATATAGAGAGAGAGAGAGAGAGAGATTAATTAATTAAGTAAGCAAGCAACTCTTAAGGAATATGTCATGATGTCATACCGAGAATAAAGTACACAATGTCATATAAACTGGCAGAGTCTTAATATTTCTAAAAAAATCCTGGCGAAGGTTTCATGTAATCATCAGGTGGTTGGCGTGTAGTGATTTTTCTAAGCGTTGCATAGATGTGGCACAAGGCCGAAAGTATTGTGCACCCAGTGAAGATCGAACTCACTAGTCAGTAGTAATTGTTCTCGCGAAATAAGCAAGCTAGGCAATGTACGACATCGAAGTGTACTAGGTAGTTGATGTGTGTATGGCATATCGACTTCAGCTACCATCTTGATTTTGCCAAGTGGATATAAAATGCCGATTTTCACAAATAACAGTTGCCCTCTACATGACAATTGCGTGAAATCGCATGAAATAATTATTTGTAATTATCCCCTATATATATATATATATATATATATATATATATATATATATATATATATATATGTGTGTGTGTGTGTATATATATATGCAACATGTAATATATATATATATATATATATATATATATGTATGTATATATATGCAACGTGTAATTACTCTAGACTAACCTTTTTTCTCTATCTCTTTATCCCATCTTCTAGTTAAATAAGTTAAAAGAAAGTAAAAGAGAATGATAAATGATCGTTAGTAATGCTATACTCGTTGCGTAAACGCTTACAGTCATAAACAACCTAATGAGAAACAGGTAAACATCTTATAAACACAAACAATGGAAAAGATGAATATTTGCTATGTTTGTATTTTATAATACAATAAAAATATGTGAATATTACATGCATTATTATTAGATACAGTTAAGTAAAACATCAGTTTTATCAAAATCATTTTTATTTTAAATACAGCTGTATTTTTTGACTACATTAAATGGATATATAGTTTGGTCAACTACGTAGCCAGGGTCACATGTACACACGCTAATTTTATTATCTTCTGTACGATGCAACACTCGTGAAAGGAACTTAAAAGTAACCATAAATCCGCACATATCCGCAACTAAATAGATTTAATAGGAATAAACAAGCAATAGTTAATGAATAAATGAAAAATACTCTAAGTAATCAAAAATAAATAATAATTTAAATGTTAAATGGCAACAAACAACCCTCTACAATAGCTATAAATAACCTAATTCAGACATACAATTAACTCTACTTAATGTAATTGAGAATAATTTGAAATTAATGCCGAATGGATAGCACAATAAATTAACAATACATGAATCACATTGACCAGCATATATAAATAGCTGATCCATGAAGATTGCGATCAAGAACCAAACAGATTCGATGTTGATCCACTTTTACATTTACACACGCTCTATCTCTGATACTGAACACACACACACACAAATATATATATATATATATATATATATATATATATATATATATATATATATAAGTTAACCAAAAAGTTTTGTCCGTTTTTTTGATTTTTGATTAGTCATTGAATGAAGTTGAAATATATACGAAATGCGTGTAGCAATTGTTTTCAAATCCGGACAGCCGGAAGTAGGAACATCAGACGTTATAAAAAACACGTGCACCATGCCTGGCCATCAGTTATAAGCCAGACAGCTGTGAGAAGGATGGAAGTGTCTAGAGATATCGTTCGGGGCTGTTTGCTTTACGACTTCAAAGTGGACTTATCAGCAGCTGCATCAAGTCGCCGTAGCGTTTGGGGATAGTGCTATGGATGAACGTACTGCAAGGCGTTGGTTTCGAAAATTCAAGTCGGCAGATTTGTCTCCCCATGATGAGCCTCACAGTGGACGACCACAGGTCTTGAATGACGGAGTCCTGAAGGCGGCCATTGAAGAGGACAGTAGTCTAACGTGTGGTGAACTTGCAAGACAGTTCAACGTTACATATGAAACATTTAGACTTCACCTGCACCGCCTAGGTAAGACGTACAAACTGAGCAAGTGGGTTCCACAAACGCTGGAAGCCTGCATATCGCTGCTTTCTCGCCACCGTACCACATCCTTATTCAATCGAGTGCTTACCAGTGATGAAAAGTGGGTTCTGTACGAAACTCCCAAGCGTTCCAGACATTGATTGTCTCCTCAGGATGCTGTCCTTCACACCGCAAGACCCCACGCAAGATTATGCTTTGTGTCTGGTGGACAGGTCGTCAAGTGGTTCATTATGAACTGCTACCAACGGGCCAAACGGTCAATGGAGACCGAAACTCGCAGCAATTGAAATGTGTGCAACAGGCATTGCGCCAAAAAGAGCCCGCACTGGTGAATCGCAATGGCGTGCTTTTCCTCCATGACAGCACCAGGCCGTATGTCGCGCGAGTGGACAAGGATACCATACAGTAACGTGGGTGGGAGAATTTGTGCCATCCACCTTATTCACCTGACCTTGCGCCATCCGATTACCACTGCAAGACCGCCTATTCACCCACGCAAGATGATATATAATCTTCACATAATACTTTGTAGAATAACCATTATTCATTTCTACAATGGTTTGCAAATTTTAGTTGGTATTTTGTTCCATTCTTCTTCACATACGTTCTTCAGATCCAGGATGTCTGTGAAGCTCTCGATTGTATTTGAATTTTTAAAAAATGCCACAGGTTGGTTTTAAATCTGGGGAATGACTTGACGATTTCAGGATATTTACAATATTTTCAGCAAGCAATTTCTTCGTAGATTTTTCAGTGTGCTTAGGAGGTTATTCGCTGTTTCATTTTGCCTTTAATATCTCCTGTGAGTGTCGGATTTCACTGACTGACTTATAGCAGGGCTGATATTACATAACAGCTTAGGACTCATTGTTTCTAATGAAATTGTGACTTTTGGAAGGCGTTTTTCTCTATTCCAGTCAGCGTTCGGTTTTACCGTTCTCTGTTAACTCACTTCCTAGATATCTCCAAATTCGCATTTTGGGCTGTTTCTTTTGCTAACAAGAATACACTATGTCTTTTTACAGTTGATGTTTAGACCTTTCTTCTTGTCGTCCTGGGTATGACGATAAACTGCATCCCCGTCTTGGGTAAGATGATAAACTACGTCCAACAGGAAGGCCTCTGATAAAAAAGGTTTTGAGGAGCATGGAACCACGTCTTAATTGCTGGTGTTCCCAGGTCCACCCTGACCCGGGGTGGTAACACATGTTAGGGTCCCAGCTATGGGTAAATAGTCAACCCTTAAACTTTTTTAAAGGAAATCATTAAATTTACTTTCAAAATATTTTGATATGCTACGGCATTCATTCTATCTATTACTGATATATTGCATGCAACTTTTGCAGAAA